TTAATGCAGAGTAATACTCCATTGTGTATAAATGTAAAATTAGCATCTTATTAATCAAGTGTTATTGATTTTTTTTCCTGAGAGTGTGAAAAACCTGCATCAGAATTGCCCCGTTTGTTTCTTAGAAATGCTGATTTCTAGCTTCTACCCATAAATATACAATCATTCTCTAGGGTTAAGATCCAGGAATACAGATTTTTAACAATTTCTTTGGGTTCTTATTATCTTAAAGTTTGAAGAATACTGTTTTAGAAAGAAAGAAAAATATAGAACAGGTTTGTGTATGATTAGGGTAAAGGAATGAGTTAAACAGGAGATGAAGATACAGAAGAGCTCAGCTATGTGAAGCCTTGTTTTCTAAACTAAAAATATTGTCAACTTTCTCATGTGGTGATACAACTGACTTTAAAATGCCCTAGAGCAGCAATAAATCTAAGCCTTTGAATTCTCATTACATTACAGATGGTTGTCTTGCACTCCAATATCCCCATGGGTTTGCAGAGATTACTCTTTTTAGGGGCTGGCTAAATATCCCCATAAAGGTAAGACAGAACACCTGCTGTGTGCCAGGTTCTACTAGGTATTGAAGATACAAAGTTGAATAGTGTAGGAGCCCATAGTTTAATAAGGATTAGATCTATGCAAATGATAAATTTCATCAGAACTCAATGAAGGCCATAATAAGAGTAAAACCAAAGTCTTATGGGGCCAGAGTAAAGAAATGCACACAGTTTGTTTGGGGACAGCATTAACTACTTCAGAGTATTTCATAAAGAGATTGGTGACATTTAATTGGGCACTTAAGGATGAATATTTTTCACATCAAGAAGGGAAGTGAAGGCTGGGTATGAGAGCACATGCCTGTATCCCAGTGACTCAGGAGGCTGGAAGCAAGATGATCATAAATTTGAGGCCATCCTAGGCAACTTAGACTCTGTCTCAAAACAAAAAACAAAAAGGGCTGGAGATACAGCTCAGTGGTAGAAGAGCACCCACAGGTTTTACCCCAGAACAAAACAAAAAACCAAGTGAGCCTTTTAGTTTTAAAGTAGCAAATCACAAACTGTTTTTTTTTTTTAGTTTTTCAATAGGAAAATGAAATTATGAAGATTATAAAATTACTGTTTAAAATATATGTCATAGTTATTACATAAGTAGATTCTGCTTAAAGGTAGCAAGAACAAAGCATACAGTTTGGACAATATGTATGCTTAATTTAATTAAATTCAGTGGGCTTACAGACTCAGAGCATAAACAGAGTTGACCCTGGAGACAATAGAAATTTAAACTTTACCTTTGGATCTTTCCCATTGCTCCCAGTAGTGCTACAACCCTTATATGATATTCTTTATTTTAAGTAATTGTAAAATAACATGGTTAATATAATTTAAAAATATATGAATATTTTACAGTTATTTACATATAAACACTTCAAGTGTGTGTGTATATATATGTGTGTGTGTGTGTATATGTATATATATGTGTGTGTGTATGAATATATGTGTGTGTGTGTGTGTGTGTGTGTGTGTGTGTGTGTGTATACACACACACACTGTTTTGGGATGAGACGTTTGTCTTGTGCTCTCTCAATTATAATAGATCACCAGTTATCCCTCTGCATGTAAAACTTGATCTTCACATGAAATTAGTGAGTACTTTAAAGTTTTCTGAAAGCTGGAAGCTTGGTGCTTTGGCCCCTAATAAAATAGAAAGTTGTAGGCTCATTTTCCGGATACTTAAAAGATGAAAATAAGGTCTCTGCATAACGTCATCCTGTACTTGGTGTGCTCAAGTGTTGATCTATGTAGAACCCAACAACTAAAGAGATGGAGAGGTCACATCCATATCTCCTATCAGTAAACAAAAATTTTATAGCTGTGCACAATTATTTTTCAGTCGCCCAAATTCATATGGCTTAAAGAACATAATAAAGAGAACACCTCAATCCCAATGATTAAAGTTCTAATTCAGGATTAAGACTAAGTTTTAGGCATACAAATTTATTTGAGATGAGAGTTTCATTAGTTGGCTCCTCTACCTGTTCCAATGCTGCATTTCATGGGCTCCTTTCCTGGATCTGCTTGAAGAATGTGCACTCAAACTACACAAATCCTGTTATGATCAGTGGAGCACACATAGAAGGGTTCTTGCACCAAGGGGTCCTTTTGCTTCAAGTAATACCAAGTAAAACTCCTTAATGGTGTTGAAAGAGAAGTGACTACAACTTTGCATAGTTATTTTTTCCACATCCAATTAAAATTGACTTAAAGTTACTTTGAAGATAAATCTCAAAAGGAAACAACTTTGGACAAAGCTTACTAAAAATAGCAAAGTAATTAGTCCTTCAAGGATTTAAGGGATGAGATGTTTGAGATTTGAGATTTGTTATAGAGTGGCAACTACACTTTTTCAAACAAAGGCTAAGCTATTTCTTGGGTAATAAGAATAGAAGAAAATTTGTTATTGAATTCAAACTTTGGAAAATTCTCTTAATTTAAAAAAAATATTTATTTTTAAGTTGTAGTTGGACACAATACCTTTATTTTATTTATTTATTTTTATGTGGTGCTGAGGATGGAACCCAGGGCCTCGCATGTACTAGGCGAGTGCTCTACTACTGAGACACAACCCTGGCCGAATTCTCTTAAATTTGTGAGTGACTTAATGAGGCCTTGGTTATCTTAACTATGTAATGAAATAATTAAAATTAAGTGTATAAGTTTTAGTCAGCTTTTTTTGCTGACTAAAAAAATTTTAGAGCAGAAAGGGTTTATTTTGGGGTTCATGGATTCAGAGTTCTCAGTCCATAGGCAGTTGGCTGCATTCCTTGGGGCTTGAGGTAAAGCAGAACATACTGGCAGAAGAGTGTGGCAGAGGAAAGTGGCTCAGGACATCACAGCAGGAATCAGAGAGAGATATAGAGATAGAGATTCTAGGATTGAGAGAGAGAGAGAGAGAGAGAGAGAGAGAGAGAGAGAGAGAGAGA